CCAGCACCATCACCGAACCACCATTACTGTCTTTGAGAGTACGTTAGAGAAACTGAAGAACAAGTGACTCAAGACCACTCGAGCACACTGAAGAAATACAACAGAAGACTTCAATACTGTGGAGACTGCCAGAGTACTAAAAAAGATGCATCAACCACATCTTTTGATAGAACGCTGTACATGTGACAGCTGTTTCTGTTAGATTTTCACCTATAAAAATGCAGAAATATGCAACCTGAATGAATGATTATCTTTCACTTTAGGTTCTTTGCATAATAAGAGGATTATGCAGCTTTTGGTAAACATGGCAGGAGTTATTCCTATTGGAGATTCAGAAAAGTCTATTTTAAGCAGTTCAGAAAAAAAAAATCCCAGCTCTTGAAAAATACCCAGTTTTACATAAAACTCTGCATTCAATTCAAGAGCAGCAATGCTTACTTGAATGGTAATTAGATACATTTGCATAAAAAGGAATTGTTTGCAGTGCATCTATGCAACACTAAGAATCCCTACAAATTAACATCTTTAAACAAAAGAAAAACTCAACATTAAAGGAGAAATTTCAAAAGTATGCTGTCCCCCTTTTAGTTTTCTAATAGAACAAAAGAAACCTGAAGCGTTAATCTAGGTATTCGCTATGCTTTATCTCAGAAACATAACTGGAAAACCAAACACCTCCATATCAAATGTAGAAGTGCACAGTGAGTTAGCAATTTATAAGGCTGCCTTTCTATTTCAAATAAAAATATTTACACAGCTTCTTGCATCTAGGGAACATTCCATCTACATGAAAAATCTTTTAGCAAAACATTATATTTTTTTAAAACTTCAGTATATGTGAAGCAGGTGGATACAGAAAAAAAAGTTAAAATTTTAAAATTTAATATAAAGCTTGAAAAGTCATGACAGTACACACAAACAGCAATAGGAAAGGAAGAGGAAAAAGGGGGAGGGGGGCACTGACACCTACCATTCTTTCTTTACAGTTTTGATATTGTCCATGTCTTTCATTCTGGTGCTTCACCTAATTATAAAAAGAAGACAGGTTAAAAAAACCCAAACCAAACAAAAGACCAGACAAAATCCGCAGCACACTTTGCCTCCTTTTGTAGCTGAAACACTCTTTATAGTTTTTCCTATGTTGATAGTACATTTAACCAGAAACCTCAGCCTCCCCCCCACCAAGTCTCCAGATGGTTCTTTGTTTTCCTGCAGTTTCTAATTTAATGACACATGAACCATGCATCAGTTTCAGACATTCAAAAGGAAGATTACTTTTTCATAAATGTACAAAATAAATTCCACAATAATCGTGTGAATTGAAAATACATACCCATACTTACGCTAAGCTAAGAAAAAAACATCCCATTCCTTTTCTGAGCAGCGTGATTTAAACTCCCCTGATTTTTCACAACACTATGAGACCGTTGCACAAAAACTGCACTGCCACTGCAGGCATCCTAATGACCTTCACCTTCACAGCGTGCATTATCAAAAGGTGCAAGATTTGTCAGGTTCCTCTTCCTACCAGATCTCAACATATCGGTGCAGCATCCCAGAAACTGTGAATTATCAGTTCTGGTCTACCATTTAGCTGGAAAGAAAATCCTGGATTTGCAAGTACTAAATATACTACAGGATTAGTCTGTCGAGTCAAAAGAAATGAAGAATGCCATACTGATCTCATTACACTCACTTCCGAGCTCTCTGAAAAAAGTTACAGAAAGTCACAAAAAGCCAGAAATTCCCAAAAACACCCTTAAAAAATAGAATCACTAAAATTAGACAAGCTCCCAGAAGAACAGAAATTTGAAGTTGCAAGTGTGTTTAAAGAGTTATTCCTGAAAACCACTGGGTACGGGTTACACAGATGATGTTCTGCTCCTGGCAGGTTTGGGACTAAGTCACGATATTGTGCAGGGCTTTTAGACAGCATCAAACTAAGCAGTGACAGCCATCATACTCCTGAAAAAGTAGTATGCACAACGAGACTAAAATAAATTTTAAGTGGTCTTGACATCTAATTTAACAAGACAGAGAGGTTGGGGGGGGGGGAAACAACATTCACTGCAACACTAAAAAAAAACCCCAACCCATTCAGTACTAATTCATGTTCCTCAGGAGGCTGGTATTGGTATTCCTTCACCTTAAAAGTTAAATCCTTGTGAGACACATTCTGTAGAAATGTATACAAGCCTTCAGAAAACTCCCATAACAACCAAAAAGCTTCGGTCAATATGTCCACAACAGGTTTTAAAGTTTAGGCAGCCTTCAACTTAACCCATGCTGTTACGCATTAGGTCAAAACATTATACTTAGCACACCTTTGATATGTCACACAAGATGTGGCACAGTCTTTTTTTTTTTTCCCCCACAGATGTTCTGCCAAAGCATTATATGTATCAGGCAAGCCTGGGCTGGTACATTATGACCTTATAAGCGTATCTGATCGCTGTACTTGGAACTTTGTACCTCCACTTAGGAAAAACGAACTTTCAGTATCAAGTAAGTATAGTATATTTAAGAGCGCTGAAAAAATATAATTTTTCAAACTTCTTCCAAATCAAGTTTTAACACACTTCAGCACAAAGTAATTTTTTGTGTTTTGTGTTAATGTGCTTATCTTCTAATCTTTCACTATTCAACAGACTAGTCCCCAAAGTAACAGGAGCCACCTCCAGCCATCTGCTTTTGTTGATTCTCTGTGACTTGTCATCAGAGCTGTTAAAGACAGACAGACACAATGAAGCAGCTCTTCAAATTAATTCTTTTGCTACATTAGGCTGGCCTCAAATGTGCATGAATAGTATTCAAAACTGGTCAGCTGTGAAAGTCGCTGTTCCTTCTAAGTACAACAACAATTACACTTAGAAGAAATGTTTGTGTTAATATATCAAGGTAAAGAAATAAGCCTACACAGCATATTGATGTTTATTATGACCAAAAAGCCATTAGGAGATAGCGATCAGACCACACTGCAAGCACTTTAGCTCAGCAAGCCAACCCAACTAGCACAAACAACCTCTCCCGCCAACTTCTGACCCACATCCCTGGATGTCACATAAAACATTAAGAGTTTTGGTATGTACTTTTTGTGTCTGTGATAAAAAGTAGCACAGAACTGAACTTCCACCTCCGGAAATTAAATTTAAACCTTAGGAAGAAGCTGAGGCTGCCAGCAGCCCACCAGAGCTACATCCCTGCAACCCTGGGCCACCGACCCGGCGATGGCCAAGGCCCCCCAGCCCCCGAGGCTCCATCCCTGCAACCCTGGGCCACTGACCCGGCGGTGGCCAAGGCCTTCCACTGCCAGCTCTCTGAAACAAGCAGCTCCCACCTACACCGTTAGACACACTAATTTCGGCAGATATTTTTGTGCTCAATATCGTTGAGCCCACACATCCAGTTATTTTAATGCAAGAAAAACGAAACAGAAACTACTTTTGATGCTTTCTTTGCTCTGAAGGACAGAAATATTCAAGCAAGCACATAGAGTCCCCTCTCCCCCACGAACGCCTGGCTTACTAACTTTAGCAGAAAGTAAACTTCTCAAGTTGAAAACCGTTCACGGCAGAGCACAGTCTATCACCACACCACACAGAAATTACGACTGAAAACTGCACCGTACCGTGTGACAAAGAAACAAGACACGGCAAGTGCGAATGAAAAGCAAGATGAGCATCAAACCTAATGGCCTGAACGTGACTGATAGGCTCAGGTAAAAACCACAGCACGAACCCTGCCCAGCTGGCTGGAAGGGCTGTGCATTTTGGACAGACCCCTGCCCCCCCCCCGGGCTGCCGGCCCCGGAGGCGATCGGCGCTCCCGCTCCGCGCCTCCTGCCAGAACGGCTGGCCCAAGCACGCCCCCCCCGGGGGGCGGG